CGATAAGATAGCGTGAGAATGGACGTAGCATGGACAGGGACAAATCAATAATGGCCACTACTCCCCACCTCCCTTACCAACCCCATTTATGCGTAGCTGACGTTTGCTGTTTTCATTTTCTCTGACGATGGCTTCTCGTGTGGAGCCGAATGCTCAGAATAAAACTATGGTTCCAGAAATCGAGCCTTTTTATATCTGGTGCATGCTTCCTCGGTTAGTTTATTAGTTTGATATCATATACGGGACGCAAGCAAATAAATTTCAATGATAAACGATACGTAATATAAAAATAGTGTGTACATACAAAATTTTAATGAATCTTGCCTAATATCTAAGAGGATATAAATGCTCTATGTTGTGCAAGTGTTTGACAAATGTTCTTAAGAATGTGAGAGGGTTTATGGGGGCCCAAAATATAAAAATCTACGATAAAATATAGCTTTTACTTCGCAGATCTTCTCCTATATTGGAAGATTCTAGAAGGCAACCCTCGCGGTTAACGAGAGATCATTATATACCGTCAATTGGTAATCTTCCAAGCTAGGGCTGTTGATGTGTTGTAGTCAGTTAAAAGCGCGCTTGGTAGTTTACATTGAAGAAACTAGGCACTGGACCTGGATGGATTGCTCCCACTCTTTTATATCCGAACGTTCGAATAAAAGCTTACGCAAAAATGGCCAAAAAGACAGGAAGACTTCTCATAAATATGAAGTGGATAAGAAACCATAAAATGTCATAATAACGAGATGCGCTGACATAAAATTGCACAAACGGCGACAAAATGTCATAATTTTCAAAAATGAATCCATGCATACAGTAAACTAGATCCATCTTTTCTTTCGAAAATCCTTACTAAGTATAGAGACCAGAGGGTAGCGACCAACGACTAGAACTGTGTACAAGAAATAGGGAGTTACACCACAGAAAGACGATGAAGTATCAATGAAGGGGGACCTACCATCCACGGTATCCTGAGCAATCTTCTGGCTCCTCTGTTCCATTTCTTTTGACGACGCCTTAAGCTTGGCGAGAGCAGCCACCGAAGCCTTTGGATTGGGACCCATGCGAGCGGCCTCAAAGGCGGCTTGCTCTTCCTCTTGAGTACGCTGCTGGCATTCCTCGTAATCCGTCCGCTTTCGGCGAATGATTGTCGGCCGGAGCGGCCCCTTCTGGGTCACGCCCTTTAGGGTTC